AAAAAAAAAAAAAGAGAGAGAAAAAAAAAAGGTACAGTTCACCCAAATTACAAAAATAAAAATGGGGCAGTTTTTGAAAAGTTGATATATTTTGGAGATTCGTGGCATTATTTTCCTCACTCTAATTCTCACTGGTCTAGCAGTTAGTTTTGGTTTGATTTGTTTATATTTTGATGTATCGGTTTGAGATTTCTGCCTCCACAACAATATAATTCAACAGCAACATCACTTTGTAGAATCACTATATCCATTATATAAGGCCCTGCAATAAATCCTCCCTTCATGAAGGTTATAATGTTCAGTTTCTAACAGTTTTAGTGAGGTCTTGATTCAACTTTGTGGTATTTTGTCCCTGCTGTTTATATTAATGAGGGTGACAGTTTAACAGAACCACAAATGGCAGCCTGCAAATGGCCATACAGTTGAATCAACATCTCTGTAAAACAGAGAAAACTGAACATTATAACTTTCATGAAGGTTCGATTTTTTGCAGGACTGTTATATTAGACGGCATTAGTTTTAGCTTGGTTAACCTAATAAAATGGCAACTGAGTGTACTGAAGAAACAGATTCTTGAGTCACAAAAACACAGCAACACAACATGCTGCAATAAAATATATTTATAAAATAGCAACAGGCAGGCCTTTCATGGCCACACCGCTTGGATATCTTATTATTAGACCTATAAAATGTAAATGGATGTTGTCTATGTAGAAATTATTAACTTCATTCATCATCATTTATTCTGCATGTCAGAATTAAGGGACCTGAAAGACAGAAATTGCTTGTAAAGACTTGCAGCTTGTCCTCAAGACTAAATTATACAAAATATGGGAAACAATGCGATGTTTAAGTAAAGCAGGTCTGCAGCTGGTCATTGTGATGCTCTCTCACTCTCTAAAACACACACGATTATGGTATTTCAGGGTCACAGAGGATCAGTTGTTTCAGTGGATTGCGACACTCCGTCAAACCACAAAGTGCTGAGTCCTGAGATTTTACGTCATTTGTATCTCTGCTGCCGAATCAACAGTCTTCAGTGTTTCAGTGTTGAATTTCTGAGCTCTACAATCACATCTGCGATTGTCTATGTCCTCAGATAAAATAAAATGCTCGTGGTGTGCTTTTTATTTTACTGACGAGTGAAGTGAGTCAGTTAGGATGACACACATTCTTTGTCTAGCATTACTTCTTATTTGTATTATTAAACACACACAAGGTGTAGCTTAGGTTTTCTGGTTTTTATTTTTAAGCATTTTACAGTACTTCGATCTTTTATTTAAGTAAATAATAGAAATACTTTTAATACTAGTAATATTTCCAAAAAGTATACTTATGGAACCAGAAGTAAAACTATTCATTAAGTAGAATGGCCCACTTCAGAATGATGTATTTTATATAATTGGATTATAGTCTAATCATTGGTGCATTACAGTGTGAAGGTAACCCATAATAATAAGATATGTTGAATTATTAATCTAAAATCTGCAAAGTAACTAAAGTTATCAAATGAATGTAGTGAAGCAAAAGTACAATATTTCCCTCTTAAATGTAGTGAAAGTATAAAGTAACAGAAAATGGTACTTGAGTAAATGTACTTAGTTCCTCTCCACCACTGATTCCTGGTTACAACACATGCAAACAGACGCGTGTAACTCAGGTTTTGTTATTGTTAAGGATTTCGGTTTTTCTAGACTAGCAACTCTATTCATGTGTAAATTAAGATTCCTGTCATCCTGCTTTTTGAGTTTGTGGTTACACACACGCACATACATACACAGTTTCCTTGTGTGACCGGGTGGAGTTTCCTTAGGAGTGAGAGAAGTTGAATGTACTGAGCGACGCCCTCGCTCCCCAGCGGCTCCACTTCAATGGGTGGGTGGGATGGTCGTGCAGGAGTGCGTTTGGGAAAGTGTGTGTGTTGGAGAGGTTATAAATGTCTGCCCATGACGTCATGTCTCTCTTCCTGAACCTAAATCCACAATGTACACTTCCTTAAAGACAAGTCCCTGTTAAAAAATGAACAAAAGGTGCTGAACCTCTTAATGTCAGCGATCCACCAGGGGTCTGTCAGTACAAACTCACACTGACTGCATTTTGGGGAAATGTGTATATAAATCATGCACAAGGCATGTAGAAGATTTCCATTTGAGAGAGAGATGCAGCTCTGAAAAACATGAAGTCTTGGGTTTGAAGATTTCAATCAGAGTAACAATCATGTAGCTGGAGAGCAAGACAATACTAGACGTATACGATGCGTCACACACAGACCGAACTGATGCACTGTTGTTGGCTGTTAAACACGTCAGACAACTTCTTTTTTTAAACTACTTACTATCTTAAGAGTCATGAACAAGGAACTAATGATGTAACTGAAGAGCAAAAGAAACCCCAAAGTTGCTCAGACATTGCTGAGTCTTTTGAGTCTTCATGGAACAGAAAAAAAGGCAAATCATTTCTGGCTAAGAAAAAGTTTCACAGCTGACCATGAGATTGCTGCCTGCATGTTTGATGTTGACAAAATCCTACAGGGTAAATACACTGTTAAGATCTCCAAGTGTCAAAGTGTTATTGTGTCTCAGATTTATCACAAAATCTGAGACACCAGTACAGCACTACTCCATGATGTCACATGCAAAGCGCCACAACCCTTTGGACATCACAAAAAGAATTTGACTCTTTAGCTGATAAAAAAAAAATTAAGACAGAATAACCTTGTTTATATCTTGTAATAGACTCTGCAAACTGCAGATCATTCAACACTCACACACTACATTGTGTGCCCCAAGAAAAAAATATAGATTTTTACAGTGTTTTTCATCAACTCGACACAAAGTTTAAAAAAACTGAATTAAATGTTATTTTAAAAAGGCTTTTAAAAACTTTACTTTATTGTTCCCTTATATTTACTGTTTATCATATTTCAGCTCACGATTAATTTGCTTGCTGCTTTAAGATTTACAGTTTCCATTTTGTGATTCATTTAAAGCCGGCTGGTTAATTTAAAAGACAAGTTGGCAGTGGAGCTCTGTTTGGCCACAACCTTTCCAACACATGGCAGGTGGCCAATCAGAGCTCCCGTTTCTTCTCTGTGTTGGATTTAATTAAATGTTTTGATGGCACATTGCTCAAGTTAAATAAAAATAAAAAAGTTAAATTTAAAAGGCTATTGAAAAATTACTTCATTACTACTCCATTTGAAAATTAAATAATACATTTATTTTTTAAAGACAGAATAAGAAAATAGTATTATTGAAAATTATAACAACTTTTTTTTGCTCTGCTCGTCAGTCAAACGCATAAATACATTTATCTTACAAATGCATAATAACTGATTATGATCCAACACTGTAAAAGTCTATAATTATTCGGTGGCAAACTCTGAACTCCATCTAATTATTTATCTAATACAAAAACTGCTGAGAACATGGAATGACCTTAAAAACTATGTTTAAAACAACGATCTTTGACCAAGCTGCTGGACTAAAGATTAGAAACCGTCAGCGCTTGTAGAAGCAGCAACCCGTAGCGCCAAAGTTTTCACCTTATTCCGGCTTTATTGCCGAAACATGCATTACCTCTGACAGAAATATTTGAAAAATCATTGAAAAAGTTTCAATGATTTTTTCCTGGTTTTTGAATTAAAGAGCAGTTGATCCACCAGATCAACTGGACCAGGCGCCACGGTGGTGTTCGCTCAGAGGAGATGAAAGAAAGCCTCAATAGGAGCCAAGTTGGTCCAGCTTTGACTGAAGGCTTCACCTAAAGATCCAGTCTGGACAAAACGGGACTCAGTTTGACCAAACAACGTTAAATCAGACACTGCTGTGCCCACATCTTCAGAGACCTGCCTCATCAACACAGTCTGGCCAAGCACTCAGCAGGCGATCCGTGTTCTGAGCTGTCAGCGCAAGACTCCAGCAAGATGAGAGGAGGCTGTGTTTTACACAGATGATGCTTGGTGCTTAAGCACAGTCAACCTTGAAAGTCACATGGTCTGAAAAGACAATTACTGGCTTTGTTTGCTGTCTGAGCTCAGTACAATGTCTGATGGACACAATAGAGTGTGTGTCACCAGCACCGCAGTGAACATTTCATCAGCCGTGCCTTAAATGAAGATTTGCTGCATCATCAGACAACAGATAACGTTTCAATGGAATTCAAATGAAAGGGAAAAAAACAAAAACTTTTGGACCAATCAAATTCCTGAACTGTAAGTCAAGTAAGCCAAAGTGTTTGCTGCAGTATTTATGCACTAACTCAACTTATAAACACATTTCACCGACAGAGCTCGGATACTTAACAGATTATGCATTTACTCTTTTTAAATCATTTGAAAAAAAGCCATCATTTACTGCCTCAAAAAGAAACATGTAGAGGAGGTTGAAGCTACGTATTTTTCCATCTTAATAATGTTTGCAGAAAGCCCCCTCGCCCTCTGCATTACACCCCAAACAAGCTCCCACAATCAGAGGTTAGGGCAGCTTGCCTGAGAGACAAAACCCAGGGCAAAACAAAGGCTGTAAAGCACTTGCTGCTCCTCATGAAGCTTCTTGCTGTGAGCACAAGCTAACAACTGCAGCCTTTTCAGTCCTTCTGTATTTTTGTTCTCCTGATTATGTATCCTTGTCCATATAAAGAGATGAATAGTCACTTACAGCACAGACTGGTGACTCACTTAGCCTAAAACAAATCTCTGATTTCAAAACCATGGACCATTATTTTCGCCTCTGTTATGTGGTTTGTTAATTATAATATACTATCACTGAAGACTGCAGACCTTGCATCTCCAGTTATGGTGGCGTTGATCAATACTTTATTAATCCCATTGGGGGAATTTGCCCACTGCATTTGACCCATCTCTGAGGTTAGTGCCTTGGCACGTCATGTCATGGGCAATGGAACATGTAAACTTCTCACAGACGACCCTTGCATCTACTCTGTCGGGAGTGTGATAGTACTATGAAGTGTTATTCCAGCAAGAGTCGGTGTAGGCTGACCTTATCCAGGATGAACTTGTTCAAGTACGGCATGTATCCCTGGGTGGAGACGGGACCCTCATCGTCGTCTTTAAAGTGCTCCTCCAGCGCAACAGGGTCATGCGGGATCTTCATCACTGTGCACAAGTTGTGGGACAGCACCTGGAATAATGGGAAAAATCTTCTATCATTGATCATATAACTGACTTTTTATTTTAAAATAATCTGCCACTACGTTCAATTAATTTCATTTAATCAAGGTTTGAATGAAGGTGCAGTTTTACCTTTCACCTAAGGACTTAGGAGAATCCTACTAGAGCCATATTTGAGGAACTCATTTTGTAAGAATAGGTAAATATTATAATCAGTTAGATGGTCAAAAATATTTCTGTAGCCCTTGTTCTATTGAAATTTGATGCGTTACATATCTTGCATAGATGCCTGGATTTCCCCAAAAAAGGAGGACCTTAAAAAGAGTTCTCTAGATTTTCATTTTGTAGTGGATGCGGCTGACTTTTAGTCCTTTAAAACGACCGAGCTCCAAAACCGCTGGTCCTATTTTCCATTATGCAACTCCACAGCAACTTACAGACGCCCTCACTGCCTGGTTAATTGGCTGTGTTATGCTTGATATACACTATATTGCCAAAACGTTTAGGACACCCCTCTGAATCTTTGAATTCAGGTGTTCAATCCCTTTAATGGCCACAGGTGTATAAAAATCAAGCACCTAGGCATGCAGACTGCGTCTACAAACATTTGTGAAAAAATGGATCACTCTTAGGAGCTCAGTGAATTCAAGTCTCGTACCGTGATAGGTTGCCAACTGTGCAGTAAGGCCATTAGTGAAATTTTCTCACTACTAAATATTCCACGGTCAACCGTTAGTGGTAGTATAACAAAGTGGAAGCGATGATCAGCATAAACTTTGGAAATGAAAGAAATTGAAAGAAGTTGCCTGATGACATTTCACTGTGACCTTATATGATTGCATGTGACGAATAAACTTGACTCAAAAGTACATGAAATATTTACCTATTCTGATAAAATAATTAGTTCTTTAAATGTGAAAAATGTGACGTGCTCCAGTAACTTAGTGCTACTTCTTATTTAAATCCCACCCTTGGATATTTGGGTATATTTCCATCCATGAAGTCCAACACGTGTCTGGAATGACTTTGTTGATCAATTTGTTCCAGTGAACTCACATTTTGTGATTTCCCGTATTTCCCAGTTTACCTTTTGACGTTTGTTGCATTCAGATGACATGGGTCGACACAGAGGGGACTATGTAGACAGCAGAGTGTTAGCAATAATAACCAGTCAGAGAAGAGGGAGTTCCACCTCTTTCACAGCTGAGGAAACCGGTCGGTGTAACGACTGTTACGACTGAAAGTATTTCAAATTCAGAAGCTGCTGACCTCAACACTTGACCTTTATTGTTGATTTTTGCTGCTGCTGCACAATGTTTGGCTGTCACAGAGCTTGAAATATGTGGGTGTGCCATGAAGTTGTGTACAACATAGTACTTTACTTTAGTGTGACCATTGATCCAATTGACTTCTGATGAACAATTATTTAACTTGTTTTCCCTCTAAAAAGCCAGTAAAAGGTGACATATCTGACATGAATACAGGTCAACGATCCTGAGAATAGTTTGCTGACATGGAGCTTAATTATCATGTTAACATAACAATGATCACATATGAGCTCTATGGGCAGATTATTCAGTACTGTACTTAACTACAAATTTGAGGTACTTGTACTTAGAATCTTCTTTTCATGCCTCTTTATACTTAAATTGTGTACTTTTTACTACACTATATTCATTTGACAGCTTTAGTTACTCTACAAATTAATACAGATTTTGGAACACATCGATGATACTTGGTGCTCAAACAGCCAAGATGGACCAAAATGTCAGACTGTTGTGAAGATGAAACTTTCATACTATCATCTGGTTGCTGCTGTTTACATTAACCCCAGATGCAAATTGAAAAAACGCACTGCGGAATGTTCTGGGTGTACCGGTGTGTGCATAGCATGAAGGGACTACAAATCTCGTTTCGTTATGCAGCCTTGTGCTGTATAATGACAAATACACAACTTTGTACTCAGATTTTTTTAAACAAACCAAACAATGTATTTATTATTCGAGAATATAATTAGCAGAATAACCCATAATAAAAATAATCATTAGTTACAGTAACGGTAAAATTCTGCTTTAGTGGACGAGAAACACTAGGCCTACTCTTATGATACAGTGGGTTTTACTGGAGTAAAAGATCCGGCTTTGTTATCTCTGTTTGCATCACTTTAGCATGTCTGCATTGTCATAAAGAGATTTAGGGGCTGGTGCTGTGATGCGGGTAGTTTTAATATCGGAGATTAAATACTATTCTAATTACTTCAAAATAAAAACTTAGTTTAATCTTAGATGGTTTTACTTCAATAACAGTCAAATGCAACATGCAGAAGTCACATTAATCAGAGTAAAGACTACCAACAGGTGCGTCTCTGCAGCTCCTGTCGCTTCACGCGCACTTTGTGTTTTATCCCACAAAGAAATTTGGTTCAACATAACTGATCATTTTTAAATGTACACAAAAGATACCAAACGCTGAGACTACAGTGATGGGAGTTTCCTGCTTAGCCAAACACAAGCTCCTAAACAAATGCGTAAAGTAGGTAGATTACCTTCAGCTGAGATTTGGAGACTTTCCCGCTTTTGTCCACGTCCAGTGCGGTGAACGCGTGCCAGATAGACTTTAAAAGTTCGTCCCGCAGGGCCATGATGGTGAACTTAAACTTGTCTCTTGTGGTTGGTGTCTGACTCCTTCCTCTCACGGTCTCCGAGTGTCTGAACTGTCTCAGTTGGAGACCATGAGGAAAAGTCACATGACGCGCTGTCAGACACTTTTTTCTGCCTGATTATGATTGAAGAGCTGCAGCACCGCTCAGCGAGAGAAAAAGCACGCACCGAAAACTCCTGTCTGCGTCATATGAGGAGTGTGTTTTATGTCCATATAGATTTTAGCCCTTCAGCCTGTTTTACAAATCAATTCTGGATCACTCACACCTTTAACTCCTACAGAGCTCAAAATAAGTTCCACACGTGTACAGAAAGCATTTAAAATACAGGGGAAAGTGAAAATGCACAAGTGGAATCATATCAGTATAATAAAATGCAGTACACAAAGCGCAGATGATCATCAAGGAAAATCAGCATCTCTCTAAATCAGTTTCAACTCAAATTGAACATGAAATCCTTCATGGAGGGAGGATTCACTGCAGGACTGTTGTACTACATCAGATTTAGCCAAGTGTCAGCCAATGTAAGAAACAAGTGGCAAGTGAGTGTATTTATTTACCTTATACCTGATATACACTGCTCAAAAAAAAAGGGAACATTTAATAAATCACACATCAGATCTAGATGAACGAAATAGTTCAAAGTTCAAAATATTTACTGTTTGTTTTATAATTTGTTGAGAACAATGGCCAGTGGAAACTAAAATCACCAACTGACTGAGGGCTGGAATCAATCAATCACCTGCCTGTATGCACTCATGACAACATCTGGCTTGCTCCTGATGAGAGGGTGGAGGGTGTCCTTCCTGGGGGATCTTCTCCCAGACTTGGATCAGGGCATCAGTGAGCTTAGCAGTGTCAGATCCACCAATACATAATGTCCCAGAAGTTCTCATCTGGATTCAGGTCTGGGGCCATCTATGGGATCAATTACTTTGTAATCCAGAAACCGCCTACACACTCGCATCGTCCTGCAACAGGAGGAACCCAGGGCCCACTGCACCAGTCTGACAATGGCTCTGAGGATTTCATCCCAGTACCTAACAGCAGTCAGGTTACCATAAACTAGCACGTAAAGGTCTGTGCGACCCTCCAAGCACATGCCTCCCCAGACCATCACTGACCCAACGCCGAACCGGTCATGCTGGATGATGTTTCAGGCAGCTTAGCGTTCACCACGGCGTCTCCTGACTCATTCAACATGTGCTCAGTGTGAACCAGCTCTCAGATGTGAAGAGAACGGGGCACCAGTGGCGGACCTGCCAATTTATGGTGAATGCCAATCGAGCTGCACGGTGCTAGGCTGTGATCCCACTAGAGGACGATGGGCCTTCATGCCACACTCATGGAGTCCGTTTCTGACAGTTTGGTCAGAAACATGCGCACCACTAGCCCGCTGGAGGTCACTTTGTAGGGCTCTGATACCGGTCCTGCTGCTGGTTTGTTGATGCTCTTCAACGGCTCATCTCCTGGTATCTCCTCCATGCTCTTGAGACTTTTGAGCAAACCTTCTTGCGAAGCCACGTATGGATGTGACATCCTGGAGGAGCTACCTGTGCAACCTGCATTGGTTGCAGGCCACCAGTAGTGATAAGGACACTCGCTAAACACAAAACTAGAGAACAGTCAGAAAGGATAAGTAGAGAGCAATTGTCTGTGGCCACCACCTGCAAATTTACACCAAAATAAGTGACCCTGATTGACACTACTTCTTAACTGGACAGACTGATGTCCCTGAAGTTAAACTGGCATGTTATACTGTAATTATTAAGTGTTCCCTTATTTATTTATTTTTAGCAGTGTAGTAAGTAAGGTAAGGTAACTTTATTATCCCCGAGGGGCAATTTGCATTACAGCCAGCAGTAACAAATATATTTATCAGACCACAACAATAAACACAACCACAGTACAGTATAATTTAAAATTGAATTTACAGGGTATTATAAACAATGGTGATAACAGCCGGGATGAATGACCTTTTTAATCTGCTTGTTCTGCATCGCGGCAGACTATATCTGTGCCCGGATGGCAGCAGCATAAATTCACCCCACAAAGGATGACTGGGATCAGCCAGGATGGCTCTCGCCTTCTTCAAGGATCTGACCTTAAACAGGTCATGTAGGTCATCTTCAAGGGTGTGCCAACAATTTTGCTGCATACCTTCACAATACCTTGCATGCGATTTTTCTGTTTAATGGAAAGTGACCCGTGCCAGCAGATAAGAGGAAGTGAGAACGGATTCAATAAAACAGGAATAAAACATTTTCATAAAAACAGTGTCAACATTAAAACTGCGAAGCTTACCAAGAAAGTGCATGCGTTGTTTTACACACAGCATCAACCTGGTACTCAAAGCACAGTTTACTGTCGATCACAGTCCCAAGATATTTGTACTGCCGCACTAGTTCAACTGGCTGGTTGTCCATTACAACAGGGGAAATGACGGTGGGGTTTCTACTGAATTCGATGCACATCTCTTTCGTTTTTGCCACATTAATATTTAAAACAGAGGATTTACACCAATCAATAAAATCCTTCACTACAGGACCGTGTTCAGGGTCATCACTACTGAGGAGGGACACAATGACCGAGTCATCCGCAAATTTAATAATGTGGCGCCGTTCATGATGGCTTTGGCATTTATTTGTGTATAAAACAAATAACTAGTTAAAATAGTGATGTTTTCAATGTGGCCCAAGACACATCAAATTTGTGAATACTGACTCTGTTGTAATGTATGTGTGTTAACCAAACTACTGTAGATGCAGCACTTTACTGCACTAAATAGCACTTTAACATAATTAAAGTGTACTTAATTTCATAGAATGGCACTTTACTGAATAAACATCACTTTAAATCATATAACCCGTCTACAAAACTGTGGTATCTTTTAGAATATGATTCTGAAAAAATTGTGGTGGCGCTTAAATTCTGTTGTATCATACATCTAATTTAATGTTTAGCCGTGTTACCTTGTACTTTGTGATGAGCTGCCGGGGACTACAGATGTAAAATAGCCATCGGGCTAATTCTGGCATATTTACATTGCTGAAAAGCTAAGATATCAATTAATATGCACGGTCCCCTTTAAATAAATAAAATAAATGTGTGTGCTGACGACTAAAACTCTTTAATAGGACAGATTTACGGTCTTTGTGAAGGGGAGTTCCTTCTATAAATCACAAAACCACACAGAACAAAGTGTAGATGGTGAGAAGTTTATTAAAAGAACATATGTACAGGTTACAACAACGGTTTTGTGTTAGAGGTTAAAAGAACAAGATGAGGAATACCTTTCTAAACAATAATTAAAGAGGAGCCTCATGGAAGGAAAAGACACCTAACAGAACACATGAGAAAGAACAGGACAATGATTGTTCTAATGCTACAGGCAGGGTTGGCAGCACCAATCAACAGGGACAATTGAAACAGTACAGATCGATGCTAATGAGTTAGCTCACTGGTGTTTGTACTTCAAAACAAACTGATGATTTTCCGTAAATGGCATGATCCATTTTGTTCTGACCAGAATCATAAGACACTAAATGGGGCGGAAACGGAATCCTGCTACTTGAAAATAAGAGCCAATAACCTCTAGACTGATCCAACCTGAAACTGGCCAAACCCTGATACACACAAAACATCAATAGCAGCAGGTTTGTTCTTTCTTTAAAAAAAGAAAAATTTGGCAAGTTCCACGTGTTGCCTCCAAAGTGCTCCATTACACAAACAGACACAGTCAGTCCTCAGATCCTCTGGTACCCAGCATCAGGCATTTGACAGGCAGTAAGGTGCGCACGCCTACGGCAAGTACATTCGCACTGAAGAGAGCTTCAGTGCGGGTTTGATCCGCTGCCAACAGGCTTCGGCTTTGTCGAGGGAAGTGCAAGGACAGAAACGGAGAGAGCGCCTGACGTCTATGCAAATTCAAGGAATGACAAAGTGTAAAAAGGTACAATGACTACCTTTGAGGAATGACAAAAGTCCATCGGAAAAAGGGCCGGACTACGTTGGCAATGAGAGTCTATCGACATGAGTTCCAGTTTGGTGCGGCAACAGTCAACACCTTTGATTGGGCGGAGGAACCCAACACCACAACTGACAAGGTTCTCCTCAAAGAAAAACAAAAGAGGTTGTTTCATCTCAACCAAGTCTGTTTAAAAAGGTCCACGAGCCTTCGTGTTTCACTTCCTGTCAGGGTGGATTAAAGTCTTAGTAGATGGTGAGGCTGACCGACCGGTTCATCTTCTTGCCGATGAGTCTGGAGGTTCTGGGGTTCGCCTGGACCGTGGAGCGGGTCAGGATCCTGTCGGTGGACAAAACCTTCTCTTCTGCTGCAGCTCTAGCCATCTGGGCCTTCTTCAGCTCCCTGAGGAAGATAAAGGAAAACAGTTAAGCATTAATGAGACCATTTTACATTAACATTATTTTCATGATCAATTAATCTCCAGTGGTGCTGCTACTAAACACTAAAGTCAATTCACAGATTTAAAAATGTATTAATATTCCATATAACACAATGTGATTCAGATTATCACATAAAACAAGGAAATTAAGAAAATTAGAGGTGCAGCAAACAGTTTGTCAATTAATCTAACAATTTTCAATTAATCGTTTAGTCTGTGTTAGAAGAAAGTGTCTTATTTTGTGCCTTAAAAGTTTAGAAAATTTTACCATTTTTGCTTAAAAATGGCTTACGTGAATATTTCTAAGAAAAAATGTTGCTGATTAATTATCTGAACAACATTTCAGCTTTACAGAAAGCTGGAACACAGAAATAATAATTGGTATTTTTTTTTTTATTGTTTAAACAATTTCCTCAAACAATATTTTTTTCTGCGCGGTTCTAAACTTACTTCTGGAGCAGTGCGTTCTTGAACTTCTCTGCATTGAGCTCAACTCTGAGCTGGTCAGCGCTCATTCTGGCAGCAGTGAGGAGCACCGGGTGTTTGATGAGGTCGGACGTTGATGGTCGTCTGCTTTGATCGGGGTGGATCATCAGCTGAAAGAAAAAAAAAATAAAAATAAGATTAAGTCAATGAAAAGGAAAAGCACAAACCCGTCAGCCTGTAGAAATGACTCAGTTTATTTAACTGAATTTCCTGTTGGTCAACTAATCGGCTCAGCACCAAGGATGTTTCCATTAACTTACTTTTGTTCAAATAAATGAATTAAGTTATGTTATAGATCCCTTTACCAAAAAAATAGTTAACATCTGCTTTAGGGGCTTAACCCAAAACAATTTCATGAATTTAGAAAATAAAATGCAGACACACTGACAGGAGATAAAACAAGGCCCAAATGACAACTCCAGTCCTCACATAGCTGAAAGAAAGAGATAAAGCAAAGACAGACTTGACTGTTACCTTGAGAAGACTGAGAAACTCTGGAGAAAGCACTTGGGGGATGGCGGGGAGTTTGCCCTGTCGGATCTCGTGCCATTTGTCTCCGTTGGTGGGAAGAGGCTCCGCCCCCGAAGCGCTGACAACAGTCAGAGCCAGAGCAAAGATGTCCGCCTTCGTCAAGTTACTGTAGTCCTACAAAGAAAAATCACACAAATAAGGAGAAATATTAGGACCCCTGTGAAGCTCTATCATCCCAAATTTAAAGGCAGTTTTTAAAGCAAGATGACAAACCTCTTGTAAAACTTCATTGGCCAGGTATCTGCTGTCGCCCTCCTCCACTTGTGGATTGTTCACTCTTGTCACATGACCAAGATCACCTGGAGAGGGAGCACATACAGTACAGATTTAAGCAGAGTACTTTAAAAAAAAAAAACAAATCGCTCAAAATGAACCACAGATATTACACAAAAACTGTTGAGGTAGCTTACCTATTTTGTAGACCGCACTGGTGATCCGTCCGTCATCGTCATCACATTCATCGCAGTTGGCTAAAGCCTTCCGTGAAATAAAGATGTTGCCTGGGACAAAGATGTTAACATTTCCATTAGTTTCTGACCAGAAAACATTGATGTTAAGACTCAAGCTCCAAGTTGTGTTCTTGTCATTTTGATGCACAAGCTAATAATGTCCAATTCCTCCCTTCAAAAGGTCTTTACAAATATACTTATCTCTACTAAAATTACTATCATTATAACATCCTTAAGTACTCACTGGGCTTGATGTCCATGTGTACCAGAGAAGTAGAGTGGATGTACTTGAGTCCGCGTGTAACTTGCAGCAGCAGATCTTTCAGCTCCAGCTCGGACAGGTAACTGAGCCGCCTGTAGTTCTCTGCGATGACGTCAGATAGCGTGCCGCCGTTGCAGTACTCGTTCTGAATGAGCATGTGGTCGTCCTCGGCCCAGGCCGAGTAGTAGCGCACCACGTGGGGATGTTGGCCGAGCACAGCGTGGGCATACACCTCCCGTAAGGCGTTCTGTCTGCGGAGGAGGGGAACAGGTTGTGTAATTAAAGACACGCCTGGTTTTGTAGGTAAAAGAAAAAGGAGCCTCAGTCTTTCTAATTTAGCAAAGGATCATACAGAACACTGAGGGAGAAAGTCAAGATTTAAAACATCACATCTGACGAAATTACATCAGCTTTAGACCATTTTCAATTCTTGTCCCTTTATAACATAATTCAACTCACTAAGACCTAACTTAACTACGGTCTTGTCCCCCCCATCCCCATTTTTTCTTCTTGCTCAATCACCATTGTTGTTGTTCTTGTTGCTTTCTTTTATTATTGAACTGAAATAAACAATTTGAATTACATTTTATTCTAATATGCTGAATCACTTCACACTTTGGACGCTGGACTTCAGGTAACAACAAGTACCCAAAATAAGATTGCAATCCTTTTGTAAGAGTTTTTCAGATTGTTATAAACTCAACTTACTCGTCTACTGATCCTGCCAGAGGTTTCTTTGATCTCTTGATGGCATAAATGCAGCCATCGATTCTCTTCACACACTTGAACACAGCACCAAACTCCCCACAGCCGATCTTCTCCAGCTCGAGGAACTCTGAGGCGTACCTGGACATCATGTTGCTTTCCATCATGGTGATTCTCTAAAAAAGGGCAGAAGAGTTTTACAACACATTTATTAAAAACATTAAAATAGTTTAAAGCTATTAGTTTCCACTTGCTTTACAACAGCACATTGGAGGTTTCCTCTGCAAATTGGTTTGATTTAATCCACATATAAAATTATGTAGAATAGTGATTTTGTTCATATATTTTGCACTTAACAAAATATATTAAATTATAAAAATAGGGATGTAAAAACAACAATTTTAAGACATCAACTTGCACCCTAGGTAATTGTATTATGTCTTTTAGGTTTTCATAGGCTACATATCAGTTAACTGACTAAAAAAAACAATCAACAGAATAATAAATAATCCAAATGCTGCTGCTCTAAAGCAAAGTTTTGAGCTTTCTGCAAAATGTTACAAGTGCCTACTAAACTAACTATTTCCCTCAATGTAAAAGGTATGTGTAAATAATGCAAATAACATGAACATGTATTACCTTTGATGGCGGCAAAACTTCCTCCTCTCCCTCACCGTCACTTGCCTCCATGTCTTCTCCACAAGAGCTGACAGATCAAAGACAATAGAGGCTGTTGGTTAACATTCTGTACAGCAGGGGGCAGCACCTGGGGCTGCACAGGCACATGGCAGAGTTCACCACTAACCATGAGGTCTTGGTTCCCTGCCAAAAACCCCTGGCTTTAGTCAACGGCTTTAACGTATCTGGTTATTACAACAATGGGTTTGGTCTGTGTTCAAGAGAACAGGTAAAAGTTGTGCAGCACAGCTCTGACTGGTGTGATTAACAGCTTCTGAAACATTATTAAACAAACTGACCAGGGTGGGAAGTATGCAACCAAAATATTGACTGCAGCATGTCAACTCCTCCAGCCATTTTGAAAAAGCACTACAGTATGCAAATGTTTTAGGTACAACATGTTTTGGGGATTTCATCAACATCTGTGCAACTTACTCATTCCAGTGCGACCGCTTCCTGTTGTTTCTCTGTTGTGTTGCAGACTGGATGAGGAGGGAATCGGGTGTGAAGGGGTTAAAGTTGACCAGAGGGGTCTGCTGTCTCCTGTTGCTGTCTGTGAGTGACTTTCCTGAAGACTCTACATTCTTGAACAGGGCAACTCTCCTGCTGGAGGATCCTGGGCCGGAGGTCCTAGCTCTGGACAGCAAACTCTGGGGGGGGGGGGGGGGGCAGATTTATTGTTAATAAAGTATAAAATAAATTTTAAATGGAGACTATATACTACATGAAAAGGCTAATTAACAAACAATATGATTGATAGCTCCTGAGTAAAGTTTGAGGAGTATCTAAACTTGGGTGCTTGTGTTGTGTAATGTAGTAATCACTGATAAAAAAAAAACATGCCCAGACATAAAAACTCCAGGTGACCAAATTATATGGCTGGCTGACTACAGTGAGACCATTATGCAACAGTACAGTTGTACTTTAAGTGGGTCACTGTGGTTAACTGACACAGCATAACTATCCCCTGGATTTAAAAGAAAAAGAAAAAAGTACCTAATTGTTTGTGCAGTCTTGGTTTTAATCAGATTCCAGTTCAACATCTGATCCAGAAGCAACTGAATCAGTGACTCAGATACATTGAGATATTTCCATAATGTGTTTCACTCAAAAATGTTCTGTGAAGTTGTTTTGCAAGTACAAACAGCTCAAGATACTTTGAGATATTTAGAGAAAACATTTTTCTACTCTAAAAAAAAAAGGGGAGTTTTTTTTTTTTGCAAGATTACATGAGCTGACACAAAAAGTTTGCAAACATTATTCAAGTAAATCCTGCAACTGATCTCAAATAAACTTTAGACTGAACAACTGATATGTTTCATATCAACAAATACAAACCTTTGGCGTGTGCGGTGTGTCAAAAAGTCTGAGTTTTCTGAAGGTTTTGTGTGGAGGTGTGTCGGGACAGTCTGGGATCGGGGAGCTGGATCCTTCCCCGTCGTCCTGGATGTATGACCGCTCCGGTGACCCTCCGTACAGCCGAGAAGTTTTCCTCGGTGAGGGCGAGCAGTTAGCGAATATAACGCTGCTCGGTGACCGAAGGTGGGACGGGGAACCAAAACTCTCTTCGTCCCACAGCTCCACGTCGTCGTCCCCTCCGGACTGATTCAGTGGACTGCTGCTCCCTTCCAGCCGTTTCTCGACAGTGTCCCGTCGCGCAGGTGTCGGGGAATCCATCTCCGTGAAGCCAGACTCTCCTCCGGTGCTGTTGTTTACGTCCTCAATGGGTTCGTCTTCCCCGTCGCTGGATATAAACTGTAATTTTTGACGAATTGGGCGATCTTTCGGGGACGGTGATCCGTGCCGCTGGCGACTGTAGCTCGACATTTTTCAGGATTTAAACCCCGGCTTCGTCGACGTGAAAAATCACGCGGTAGCACCCCGACTACTACTGTTGTAGTAGTAGTAACGTTAGCGTTTCTCGCAAAAAAAAACAACACAAAGCTAGTCAACTTTTAACTACCTTGAAATGAAGGTATCGATTGAAAAAGAAAAACGTATCCAAAAACGTCTAAGAGACGGTTAAAGCTCCGCTAGCATCCCAGAAAAAGTTAACTTGTTTGCTACACGCCCATCCAACGCTGAGAAATGGGGCCCAGACTAGTAGAAGGATTCACCGTAAGAACAACGTCCGATTGGTCTTAAAGCTATAAACAAATACTACCGGGTCCAGTCGAGTATCGGTATCCGTCACCACCTTGTTGATTGCTCACCGACACAGAAACACGTCTTCCCGCAATAAAACCATACCAATGTTTACCAAAAAAAAAAGTTTGAATGAGTCAGGAGCTGTCCTCTTCCTATCACGCGCGTGGCAAAGGACTTCCCGCGACCGTTGGTCACATGTCCCAGCGCGGCCAATCAGCGCTCGTCTCGAAATTTTGAAAGCTGGGCGTTCCAGAGAGGTTTCGGGAGGCGCTTACGTCATCGGTGTCTGAGTGGCTGAGCAACAACATGGCGCGAAGGCGTGCTTTTCATCTGGCCGGCGGAGTCACACTATTACATTAACTTCGAGACAACGCACCCATTATTTACACGGCACCATATAAACATGTCAAAGTCTAAACGGGGTATAAACTTCTTTCCGTTCAGTTTACGACAAAATAAGCCAATTATTGAATAGGAATGAAACCGGTTTCCAACCACCAACCTCAAAATCATCTGAATGAGACCGAGCTAAATTTAGCACCTTTACCTTTCTTTAAAGTATAACACTGCATCTTTTATAAGATGATCATATGGTTTATTTTAAATAGTAACTGTAGCTGTCAAATAACTGCAATGGAGTAAAACATACAAAATATGGAGCTATGAAGAAAAATAGTAAAAGTGCCCCCAAATTGTACTGAAGTATAGTTAAGTGCATGTACTTTATTAGTTTTAATCACTGTCTAAGGGGGACATGCACATTTTCCAATTCATGGTGGAAAATTTGCAAACTGAATCAACAGGTTGTTTCACAACAACCCTCAATTAATCACACAATCTTTTTTTCCTTCTTTTATTAGAAATAGCATTAGCTGTACACTGCACTGTGCACCATAAACATTATAAAGCTTTCTTTTGCCTCTCCCATTTTTTTTGGTTGAGGGACAAAATAGCATAGCAGAACTCCAGTTATCAAAATACTATTTACACATAAAAGCTTTAATGGAAAAAAACCCATGGAGGAAGACTCGTGATTTCTCTCATCGATACAGTCCAAGTGAGATGGTTTTAATCCTATATTATAGTTCATAATGAGTCCATCAATCATCCAGGCCCGGTGACTCTCCTTGCTGTATTCTTGATGCTATTCTGATGGCTTCCTCCAACGAAGGCTGATCACTGAGCTACAGAGAAAAGGAAAACAATGCGCATAATTCAAACATTGATTGACATACTGATAACCACTGTTAATCGATCACCACTACGGATGTAATCTATTTACTCTGCCACCTCTTTAAAGGACAATACCACCTATGACCGTGTGTTAAAGGTTGCTGAATTTCCTTAATGACTGTCACATGGTGGTAAAGGAGTGTTTGCTTTGTAATTAACATGACAGAAAGAGCAGATGGTGGTACGTGAACAACGTCAACAGTGCTTTTCAGGATAAATAAAGGTTGGTCATCTGATCTGCAACCTTTGATGCACACGTAGCCCCTCAGGGGTTTTTAGGCCTGACTAGTTAATATAGTATTATAATTTCCTTCTGCTTGCCTTTGTACTTGTATCAAGGCAAACAAATAAAACCACAAATACAAATTTGTATTACAGGATTGACTTTATTTTTTGGCAGAACGAGTGCTGGTTATCATAAAAAATTTGAATTACATGGAAACTCACACATCCTGTGATGTTTAAGTTTTGGTTTAGTTTGATTCCTATTTAAATGCAGCAGCAGGAGGGCAACAACGCATCTACATCCCCTAAACTGAGCTCCACCTACCCATGAGTTTTAGTTAAGCGTTTAAGTACATAGCTCAGTAGGGTGGGATCTGGGGAACTTAAGTACCTGAAACTCCTGTCAGTTTCAGTTTGAGCAACAACAAAATTGATCGATGAAGAAATGCAGATGGCAGACTCTGTAGAATCAATATCTGGAACCAATCCCAGCTGACATCGGGCAAAAGGCACGGTACACCAGAGAACCCACGCAGACAACATGCAAACTCCACACAGAAAGGCCGGGGTTTGAACCCACAACCTTGTTGCTGTGAGGCAACAGTGCTAACCACTGTACCACCGTGCCGTCCTAGAATCAATATTCAAGATGTATCAAATATTCTTCTTTATAAAGTGAACTAGACAAATTCACATTGTGAAAACCCCTAACCAGTCGAGGCAGATGGCTGCCCACCCTTAAAAGATTTTCCTTGCCTCTGTCGCCTAGTGCTTGCTCATGGTGGTGGCTACTGTATATGAAAAGTGCTATCAGAGAACTGTTGTTATGAATTGGCGCTATATAAATAAAACTGAATTCAACGGAAAATTAATTGAAACTCGCCCCATCAGTCTATTCAGTCTTATGTTGTCATACTACTAACCTGCACAGCAATGTGAGTGCCGTTGGATGTAGCCAATAATGTGACAGGATGAAGGTCATCCTGTTCTTGGCTGTAGGCTGCCTCCTCCACAGTCTGAAATGAGGCCATGTCGGGTGTCATGATGGCCACCTGAGGGAGACAGAGACATTGTTCAACAAATCAACCACCCGCTTTGGTGTTGGCTCACAAATCAATTAGCAGCCACATCTGCCGCCATCGTGGTGGTCCAGCAGTGTACTAATTGTGCACCATGTTGGATGTTCAACAACCACGCTAGAAATGGGAGAAGACACCAGAAAAAGATGTTGAAGATGTGGTGTGGCTGTTAATTTGAAGTAAAAGTGTCTGGTCTTCGAAGTACACTTTTCAAACTGAAGTTAGTGTACCGGTGTTTCCATCGTTTTTTATGCACATTTTAAGTATCGCATTATAAAATGTTGATGGCAGCAGCAAACTTTGAAAAAAAGTTTTTATGCTCACTTTAGGTGGGGTTTTTGCCTTTTTCAAAAAAAAAAAAATTAATGCACTAAATGGGAGATGGAAAAACATTTGCCGAGTAAGTTCTGACATAGCGAACATGTAACTCTAATGACTGATCAGCTGTTTCCGCTGTCTGCGTCATCTCGGATGTTCTCGTAACGCGTGAAAACATGGCTGTTAACAACTTGTCCACTTGAAACACATTCCTGAAGACCTCTCTCCATTTTTCTCAGAGCTGTGGCCCTCAGGTTCATGCGACTTGTTTATTACAGCCATGTGTAAAATCAACTACTAACATAACTACGTTTGCCGTAGCCTGGTTTATTCGCTCCAAACCAACCGATGGAAACGCACCTAATACACATTTTAAATGTTTTTTCCTTTTTTGCGACATTAAGTTTGCTTAAAATTTGCATGTCAATCAGATGCAAACATGGTTTGTGATACAGTAAACTCTCGTATTCCTAAGTTTCAGTCTTTTTATTTCCTTCTGAAGTAAATTAAGTTAGGCACGAACACGTCACATGAAAATACACAAAAGCCTTCTATACAAAACTCCACACATTATACATTACTCTAACATTTTGTACTCGGGCAGTTGTTTACCTGTTCATCTGAGCCGTCTGTTGTTACCATGGTAACTGAGTGAGAACCTTGCGTTGCCAGTTCGTGGGCTGGGATGGTTATGGTTGTGCCTTCTTGGGTTACCATGGTGATTGTGCCACCCATAGCTTGTAAGTCTGCTTCAGAGATACTGACCTGATGCGAGACACAGTACAGAGGGGGGAACATTCAGTTTCACAATAATTCGGACGCAGAACTTTTGCTACGTTTACGCCTCCCGTCCAGACTAAAAAAGTAAATCCGATGACCTAAAATGGAGAAGTTTGAAAACCATGTCGACTCCTGTTTTTACTTTAAACGGGTGCGGAAAATGATTATGCAGACACTCACATTTGGCTTCCTGATTAGGTTTTATCAGTCATGCAAAGCAAAATCCTGATGCAACTGACAGAGTTTATGTTTTGGTATTTTAATTAAAATATTTGTACTGTGCAAATACCAACATAATAGTTCCACCTCGTTGTCAGCACCACGCAAAGAAATTGCTGGTGTGGTTCTTCGTCTGTAGTAGTACTTTCCACCATTTAGCCACTAGATGTGCATTCTCAATCATTTTAATATAGATGGAGATCAATTCTGATGCACAGATAAAATGCTAGTGTGGATGGAGTAGTGTTGTAGTCAAGACCGCCCAAACCAATGCAGCCTTTAATGTCCCCATGAAACCAAATAGATGAAGTGTTAGTGTTTTTATATGATACTTCATGTGCAATCTGTCACTTGTATGCCAGTATGTGGCCCAACAATTACAAAAAAGTAGTTTTGTAGGTATTCTTAATGGTATTTTAGAGTTTGCCATTTCCTGGAGAGAAAATATGTTGATGACTCATCCTGCACTTAGGGGTGTGTATTAATTTAGCATCCAATAAAATGCTTTCTCGATTGTTATGACTCCGCCAGAGCAGAGTGTTTCTGCTTGTTAGAGAGGGACGCCCCTGTTCTGGCGGCATATGGTAGCTTGTTCCACCATCTGACACCACGATGGTGAAACGAACTACCACATGCCATCAGAGCAGGGGCGTCCCTCTCTAAATTCAAGAAACTCATCTACTACGAGAACACTTCGTCTTATAACACCTCTAACATGCACTTCCTGTGCTCTTCTTCTATCTCCTTACAATCCTGTTGTATTGATTGCACTATTCGTTTACTCTGACTTCTTTCCCTAGGTATTTACACCTAGGTATCGATGCTGTACGCGCTAATATCTCTAGTATTGATTGCTGCTGACTAGTATCTATTGTCACTTGTAGATCTCTTACTTTATAGCTGTGTTTTTGGTGCTTGTATGGTGTTCCTCAAATATTAAGTTGCACTGGTTAAAACCATCTGCCAAATGCCAAACTTTATATACTGAAGTGAGTGAAACTGGGTTGTATTTCATGGAGAAAAATATTGGTTTACCCATATACTGGTTTTCCCTCTGATGTCCTCCGGCTGCTCTGCCTCAAACGTCGATGATTCACCGATTGACAGATAGCTTTACTTGTTGCTAAAATAACTGCTAACTAGCTGATGTTAGACATTCTTCCAATGACATTTTTCTTTTAGGTGGTCCCATATCAACTTGGGCTCTTATTGGCAGATGTATAGTTCATATTTGTGATGTAATTTTGTTCAATTACCTGCTGTTGCGTTCCGTCCTCCTGCGTTACCAAGGCCACGTGCTGTTGACCAACCA